CAGTTGAAAATGCAGAAATCACCGGTCTTTTGTGTCGCTCGCGCTGGGAGTTGGAGACTGGAGCTGTTCCTATTCGGCCATCTTGCTCCGCCCTGGTCTTTGTTCTTATTGGTTTCAAAGAATATCTTTATTTCTGCCTTCATTTCATTATGTATGCAGTAGTCAGTCGGGAGCAGGTTGTTCAGTTCCCATGTAGTTGAGCGGTTTTGAGTGAGTTTCTTAATCCTGAGTTCAAGTTTGATTGCACTGTGGTCTGAGAGACAGTTTGTTATAATTTCTGTTCTTGTACATTTGCTGAGGAGTGCTTTACTTCCAACTATGTGGTCAATTTTGGAATAAGTGTGATGTGGTGCTAAGAAGAATGTGTATTCTGTTGATTTGGGGTGGAGGGTTCTGTGGATGTCTATTAGGTCTGCTTGGTGCAGAGCTGAGTTCAAGTCCTGGATATCCTTGTTAACTTTCTGTCTTGTTGATCTGTCTAATGTTGACAATGTGGTGTTAAAAGTCTCCCATTATTATTGTGGGGGAGTCTAAATCTCTTTGTAGGTCTCTAAGGACTTGCTTTATGAATCTGGGTGCTCCTGTATTGGGTGCATATATATTTAGTATGGTTAACTCTTCTTGTTGAATTGATCCCTTTACCATTGTGTAATGGCCTTCTTTGTCTCTTTTGATATTTGTTAGTTTAAAGTCTGTTTTATCAGAGACTAGGATTGCAACCCCTGCTTTTTTTTGTTTTCCATTTGCTTGGTTGATCTTCCCCCATCCCTTTATTTTGAGCCTATGTGTGTCTCTGTATGCGAGATGGGTCTGCTGAATACAGCACACTGATGGGTCTTGACTCTTTATTCAATTTGCCAGTCTGTGTCTTATAATTGGAGCATTTAGTCCATTTACATTTAAAGTTAGTATTGTTATGTGTGAATTTGATACTGTCGGTATGATGTTAGCTGGTTATTTTGCTCGTTAGTTAATGCAGTTTCTTCCTAGCATCAATGGTCTTTACAATTTGTCATGTTTTTGCAGTGGCTGGTACCAGTTGTTCCTTTCCACATTCAGTGCTTCCTTCAGGAGCTCTTGTAAGGCAGGCCTAGTGGTGACAGAATCTCTCAGCATTTGTTTGTCTGTAAAGGATTTTATTTGTCCTTCACTTATGAAGCTTAGTTTGGCTGGATATGAAATTCTGGGTTGAAAATTCTTTTCTTTAAGAATGTTAAATATTGGCCCCCACTCTCTTCTGGCTTGTAGAGTTTCTGCCAAGAGAGCCACTGTTAGTCTGATGGGCTTCCGTTTGTGAGTAACCCAGTCTTTCTCTCTGGCTGCCCTTAACATTTTTTCCTTTATTTCAACTTTGGTGAATCTGACAATTATGTGTCTTGGAGTTTCTCTTCTTGGGGAGTATCTTTGTGGTGTTCTTTGTATTTCCTGAATTTGAATGTTGGCCTGCCTTGTTAGGTTGGGGAAGTTCTCCTGGATAATATCCTGAAGAGTGTTTTCCAGCTTGGTTCCATTCTCCCTGTCACTTTCAGGTACACCAATCAGACATAGATTTGGTCTTTTCACATAGTCCCATATTTATTGGAGGCTTTGTTCATTTCTTTTTACTCTTTTTTCTCTTAAACTTATCACTTCACTTCATTCATTTGATCTTCAATCACTGATCCCCTTTCTTCCTCTTGATCGAATCGGCTAGTGAAGCTTGTGCATGTGTTATGTAGTTCTTGTGCTATGGTTTTCAGCTCCATCGGGTCATTTAACGTCTTCTCTACACTGTGTGTTCTAGTGAGCCACTCCTGGCCTCAGGTGATCCACCCACTTCCACCTTCCAAAGTCCTGGAATTACAGGGATGAGCCACTGCACCGGGCCCCAAGAGCTTGGATTTTTAAGGAACCAAAAGGCAATTGATGTGGCTAAAGCAAGGGCTTTCAAATGCTAGATTGGATGTAGAAGATGATAATAAGGGAGAACTGTGACTGTTTCTAAGGGGTCTTTGCTAAATCAGCTGAGTTGATGGCAAGGCCATTTATGGAGGTACAGAATTCTGGGAAAGATAAGGTTTGGGTAGGGAGAAGGAAGAATTCCCTTTCGGGGAGCATTTTTCTGAGGTGTTTTCATATTTGTTCTCACCATTTCACACTTGTTCTGTAATATATCCAACACTAAGGTTTTATCAGTTCATTTCCTCTTCTTTATCTGATTTCAGTTTACATGTCTCCTTCACCAAATTAGTAAGTTTCCATCTAATCCTGTTTTCCTCCTTCTTCATAGGATGCATGCTCCTGGCCTGATACTTCTCATTCCAGTATCAAAAGCCATGAACCAGGAAACTTCTTCCTTAATACTTTTGATTCAATATATCTTTCCACTCATAACCTTGTCTCTTCCTTTTACCTTCAGAATCATGACCTTAAAAAAAGTTCTGTTGAAGAAGGTGAAAATAAAAAGTTCATTATTTCTTACTTGGTTTTATTGTTTGTTCACAATGTGAGAGGCATGCAGGGGTGTCGTTGTGGGTTTTAGGGTGGCTCTTCACAAAGCATTCTAAAACAACAGCACACTTTTCCATGCTGAGCTGTATCAGTTCCTTAGCAGGTAGCCACAAGGAGGAAAGAGAGGGCACAGTGGATCTTCTTGGTGATACAAACATGGTAATAACTTTTAGGATCTCTTTTCTTACAGGTTTATTAACTTAAGCAAAAATGGACAGGGCAGCTGCTTGAGCCACAGTTAAGTGCGCCATTGTCTCTACACAGTAATTGGAGCACCTTTAAAGCTTGAACAAATTCCACAGGCTCCACCTCTCACCTTCTATTCCACTCCTCTGCCCCACTCTCCTTCCCCAGTTGAATCTGTCAGAGGTGGCCAGCATCACCTGGTCCTGATCAAGATGGTACTGATCCAAAAATTCAAGAGATTCAAGAGGAGTGGGGAAGAGGGAAGTCAGGTACTGACGGAATGACTGGAGGTGGCTTTATTTTCCATGTCCTCATCCGGGTTTGCATGGAGACTTCTCTGACATCAGCCTTGTGCTCCTCTGCTAGTTGTCTTATATTGTGTAACCTAATAGAGGAAGCAAGCTCTCATGCCCAAAAGGTGCAAGTCACTTTGCTGTCTAGTTCTGCCTCCCTGAAACTGGCAAATGTTTCATGCCAGTCATTACATCTCTTGTGGTAGCTGTTTCAAACTTAAAAACCAAACAAACAAAAAAACTTTTTAAAATTAGAAGAGTAGTATGGAGCACATAATTAGATTTGCCTACCTCTCAGGTGTCCTAAAATTACACTTTTCAGAAAAAAAATTAGTTTATTTTACTGTCTTTATTTCCAGTGCTCCACGTAATTACCAATCCTTCCTGCATCTTCTGGGGCTTGGGCATATGATAGTAGGATGCTCAATAAGTTCATGTTCTTCTTCTATGCATAATACATTTTTGGTGAATCTTTCCAGGTCGTAGCATGCTTTTCATTTTCTGTGTGACTTAACTGAGGAAGCAATCCTGGCTTTTTTAGGCTGCTCCAAGATCTATTCTATCTTTTACCTATAGGGATTCTAATCCCTACCTCTAAGGATTCCAGAGTGTCAATCCTGACCCTGTCCCTCTTTTGTCCTCTGCTGAGCCCAGCAAGCCATGTTAATCATACAAAACCAAAGTACCTAAAGGGAAAGGTCAGACCTGCTACCTAGCCATTTAGTTTGGAAAATGTACACGTTTATTTTCTTTATTTTAATAGAAAATACGTCCCACTTCAGTGACTTCAAACTGGCATGACCTAATAAATGAAGCTGGCTCAGAAGCGTATACTTTCTGCTTCATGGGCCCGAAGAGTCACCGCAATATAGACATACTAGAGCTGTGGCAGAGTCCAGCCTGCAAGTGTCTGGGTTTAACAACTGACAGATTTTTCAAGTTCTTTATAGAGTAGGCATTAAAAAGCTACTAGAACAGAGGGTGTAGCATTTATGGAGACGAGGCCACACACTCATTTCTTCTACAGAATCATCTGATACAATCCCTGGATGACACATTTTCTAAACTGGCGTTCCCCAGTGCCAACTGAATTTTGTATGGGCCACAAAATATTAAGTTCTGCTTTTCCAAACCGTCTAACAGCTGGATAGATCATGAAAGGGAGTTTAGGAATTGTTTCCTGTTTATGTTTCAGGTACCTGACTTCTGTTTGTTTCAGCATTGCAGAAGTTTCTCTCCATTATCTCTTCCTTTTCAGTGTCTGGGAAATCTGTGTTTTTTTGTTTTTTTTTTTTTTGTTTTTTTAATTAGAAAACATAGTATTGGGTCTTGAATGTGTTCTCTTAAAAGGAAATTACTCTGTAAGCATGGGCCAAGCGTCAGGAACTCCTCAGAATCAGATTCTGCTCCCAAACTTTTTGCAGAAGCTTCATCTTATACTATTTATGAACTGTTTATGGCAGATGTCTTTGTGGAAAGAGGGTGGATACTGGATGTATCAGGCCTATCGGCTGCTATGCAGCCTGGGACAAGTTTTCTTCAGATTTCTGTGACCCCTGGTGAAAAAGGAGGAACTGTGTCAGGCCCCAGCTATATCTTAAAGATGTAGGAGACTCCTAAGTCTGAGGACTCCTGAGTCCTTTAGGATACTTCCTTCTTGCAGTAAACTTGAGTGTTTCTTACATCCTTGCCTTGTGACCCTTTTATTTCCAGACCTGAAAAAAAATACAAAGAAACTTATTTTTTAAACTCTGAATGTTCTTAAATTCAACTATTTCTATAACAGTCTATGGCTCCTTAATTCCAGAACCTCAGAAAACAGTTGTGAAATTATTTAATGATTCTTTCAATAAGCAGGTAGCTGCTGCTTAGTGACAATTTGGATATTTGAGAAAAAAATTTAAAAAATAAAGTGCCTATCTATCTCCATAGTTAGAACTGTCCATCACCTGATTTTGATATAGAAACTGCTGTTACTTTGCCCTTTGTTTTCTGCTATGTGAGTTCCTGACCATCTTCAACACCTCTCCATCACTTTTTCTCCCACACTTTCCAGGCCTTGGAGTACCTTTTCAAGTTCATTGTACAGTCACGGATCCTGTACTCACGAGCCACTTGTGGAATGGAAGAGGAACAATTCAGATCCAGTATCCAAGAACTTTTCCAGTCCATCCGATTTGTGCTCAGTCTGGACAGCAGAAACTCAGAAACACTCCTTTTTACTCAGGTTCGCACACTGCAGGGAAGCTTTGCTGCTGGTTTCCTCTTTCTCAGCGGGAGGTTTCTTTGTCTTCTGGTTTTCAGAGATGAAGAAACCCTGCCAGGATCATGTGTGTTGGGTAAGGGGTGATTTATAAGGAAATACCTGATACAACAAAATGCTGCTTTTACTGCAAATCTGGCTGTGCCTCAGCTGCCAGATGTAAAACAGCTCAGTGGCTTTATGTTGGAGATGAAGCACAAATTTGTTCTTGTGAACAGTCTTTAGACCAAATTTATTTAGCTACATACTACTTAGTTTTTTATGAACATCTTATTCATAGGAGATAATCAGAATGTATGGGGAATTTTATTTCCTGATTAAGCATTGTATTAATGAAAGTTGGGCACAGTGGCTCACGCCTGTAATCCTAGCACTTTGGGAGGCCAAGGCGGGCGGATTGCTTGAGCTCAGGAGTTCAAGACCACCCTGGGCAACATGATGAAACCCCATCTCTACTAAAAATAGAAAAAATTAGCATGCACCTGTAGTCCTGGCTACTCAGGAGGCTGAGGCAGGAGAATTGCTTGAACCCGGGAGGCGGAGGTTGCTGTGAGCCAAGATTGCACCACTGCACTCCAGCCTGGGCAACAGAGTGAGACTGTCTCCAAAAAGAAAAAGGAAAAAGGAAAATTTAGATTAGCTTTTGTCCATTCCAGAAGTTGAATGAAATAATTTGTAAAACAGTAGGATTAACTAGGAAGCTTTGGCTAAGAATTAAGATTAAATTAGGATCAGAGGGCTGGCAAGATGGCCAAATAGGAACATCTCTGGACTACAGCTCCCAGTGAGATCAACGCAAAAGGCGGATGATCTGCATTTCCAACTGAGGTACCCGGCTCATCTCACTGGGACTGGCTAGACAGTGGGTGCACCCATGAAGGGCAAGCAGAAGCAGGGTGGGGTGTCGCCTCACCTGGGAAGCTCAAGGGGTTAGGGAACTCCCTCCCCTAACCAAGGGAAGCCAGGAGAGACTGTGCCTTGAGGAATGGTGCATTCCGGCCCAGATACTACGCTTTTCCCACAGTCTTTGCAACCCGCAGACCAGGAGATTCCTTCAGGTGCCTACACTACCAGGGCCCTGGGTTTGAAGCACAAAACTGGGCAGCTGATTGGGCAGACACTGAGCTAGCAGCAGGAGTTTTTTTCATACCCCAGTGGAACCTGGAACACCAGCGAGACAGAACCGTTCACTCCCCTGGAAAGGGGGCTGAAGCCAGGAAGCCAAGTGGTCTAGCTCAGCGAATCCCACCCCCACGGAGCCCAGCAAGCTGAGATCCACTGGCTTGAAATTCTCACTGCCAGCACAGCAGCCTGACGTCGACCTGGCACACTCAATCTTGGTCAGGGAAGGGGCATCCACCATTACAGAGGCTTGAGAAGGCAGTTTTCCCCTCACAGTGTAAGAAAGGCTGACAGGAACTTTGGAGGGGGCAGAGCCCGCCACAGTGCTGTCAAGCTACTGTAGCCAGACTGCCTCTCTAGATTCCTCCTGTCTGGGCAGGGCATCTGTGAAAGAAAGGCATCAAGCCCAGTCAGGGGCTTACAGATCCAACTCCCATCTCCCTGGGACAGAGCACCTGGGGGAAGGGGCAGCTATGGGCACAGCTTCAGCAGACTTAAGTGTTCTTGCCTGCCGACTCTGAAGGGAGTGGCAGATCTCCCAGCACAGTGCTCGAGCTCCGCTAAGGGACAGACTGTCTCCTTAAGTGGATCCCTGACCCCCATGCCTCCTGACTGGGAGACACCTCCCAGTAGGGGACGACAGACACCTCATACAGGAGAGCTGTGGCTGGCATCTGGTGGGTGCCTCTCTGGGAAGAAGCTTCCAGAGGAAGAAATAAGCAACAATCTTTGCTGTTCTGCAGCCTCCGCTGGCAACCTATAGAATAGGAGAAAATTTTTGCAATCTATCCATCTGACAAAGGGCTAACATCCAAAATCTACAAAGAACTTAAACAAATTTACAAGAAAAAAAAAACATTAAAAAGTGGGCAAAGGAGATGAACAAACACTTCTTAAAAGAAGACATTTACATGGCAAACAAACATGAAAAAAACTCATCATCACTGGTCATTAGAGAAATGCAAATCAAAACCACAATGAGATACCATCTCACACCAGTTAGAATGGCGATCATTTAAAAGTCAGGAAACAACAGAACACTTTTACACTGTTGGTGGGAGTGTAAATTAGTTCAACCATTGTGGAAGACAGTGTGGTGATTCCTCAAGGATCTAGAGCTAGAAATACCATTTGACCCAGCAATCCCATTACTGGGTATATACCCAAAGGATTATAAATCATTCTACTATAAAGACACATACACACGTATGTTTTTTTCTTTCTTTTTCTTTTTCTTTTTTTTTTGAAATGGAGTTTCACTCTTGTTGCCCAAGCTGGAGTGCAATGGAGCGATCTCAGCTCACTGCAACCTCCACCTCCCGTGTTCAAGCGATTCTCCTGCCTCAACCTCCTGAGTAGCTGGGATTACAGGCACACACCACCATGTTCAGCTAATTTTTTATATTTTTATTAGAAATGGGGTTTCACCCTGTTTGCTAGGCTAGTCTTGAACTCCTGACCTCAGGTGATCCACCTGCCTCACCCTCTCAAAGTGCTGGTATTACAGGCATGAGCCACCGCGCCCAGCCACACACGGATGTTTATTGCAGCACTGTTGACAATAACAAAGATTTGGAACCAACCCAAATGCCCATCAGTCATAGACTAGGTAAAGAAAATGTGGCACATATACACCATGGAATACTATGCAGTCATAAAAAACAAAGAGTTTATGTCCTTTGCAGGGACATGGATGAAGCTGGAAACCATCGTTCTCAGTCAACTAACACAGGAGCAGAAAACCAAACACCACATGTTCTCACTCATATGTGGCATATGTGGGAGGTGAACAAGAAGAACACATGGACACAGGGAGGGGAACATACACACCTAGGGGGGATCGGGGGACTAGGAGAGGGATAGCATTAGGAGAAATACCTAACGTAGATGACGGATTGATGGGTGCAGCACACCGCCGTGGCACGTGTATACCTATGTAACAAACCTGCACGTTCTGCACATGCATCCCAGAACTTAAAGTATAATAAATAAATTAATTAAAATGAAACTTCAAAAAAAGATTAGATTAAATTCAATATTAGAAATACCAGTATGGGAAGAAAATTTGGTTTCTTATATTAAAACTACCTGGCCAATCACCTGAGCCCAAGAAGTTAAGGCTACAGTGAGCTGTGATTGGACCACTGCACTCCAGCCTGGCCACAGAGTAAGACACTGTCTCGAAAACGAACAAAACTGCCTGGCCAGCTAATCTGTTACCTTTCCACACAGTCTTACCCTAGAACAAATCAAGAATTCATTACCCCAGTCAAAAGGGAAGTATTTTTCCTTATAAAATGAATGTCAGAATTTTTATGTAATGGATTATATTCTTCAACTTTTTGAAGCTAAATATTACGCCAAAACCTGTAAGCAAAGATCAGACAGCCTCTCTCATGTCCAGTCATTCAGTCACTGCCAAGTATATTGTTAGCCCAAGTATATATTTAAACTGTCTCATTTAAGATTAAAATTAAAAAACAAAAAATTTAAAAAAAAATTTTGTTTTCCACTTGCCTCTGTGTTGCCTCTTGATACCAGTTGCCTGTAGGTTTCTCAGCCCAGAGGACAGGTAATCAACTGGGAGTACCTTAAGACTTCCTTGACTCTATAAGGAAATATACTCTATAAGGGAGTCTATAAGGAACTCTATAAGGGAGTTCCTCAAGGCTTCCAGGTGCTTTTGTAAGGAAGACACCTGTGATCTCCCCTTCTAAGTACCTTAAGCTGCTCCTGTTCCTCTTCCATTCCCCTCCCACAGCCAGAATACGGAGAGATTAGAGGTAGCTAGCAAAGCAATGCACATATGCTTTCTGGGAACTTGGTAACACAGTAATGCCCTGTATTGAGTGGCACACTCCTACTATATCAAGATAAATAGCTTAGATCTGGTCTCAGCTAAGACCTGGGTGAGAATCTGACCACCTTCTTTGGTGCAAGGCTCATGTTTCGTGAGTTTCACATATATATGTGTGTGTGTGTGTGTGTGTGTGTATGTATATGTGTGTATATATATATATAGAGATACACACACACACGTATGCATATTATTCACTTAGACTTTATATCTTTGATTATGACCACTAGAAGATGTCAGGGTATGAAAGTCCTTCTGTCCTGGTGTCTAAGTACAGGACATTTCACCATTTAAGAGAGCAAATGAGTTACTGTTTGTTATTGATTATAAAGCACCTACTTCACCACTCCTTTGTTTTTTATATCTAAGCTGCTAACAATATGTTTTGTTCTGGTTCTAATTACTGTGAAACAATCTCCTCAATATTCCAGGAGTTATAAATCTGCAGATAGAACTCATATAAGTGCTCCAGTTGGGCCTGGCCTGAATAAAAACCATAGCACAAGCCTGTTTTCCATGGCATAAATTTTCACTCACTCTAAGCCAGTGTCTGTTGCCTGACAGAGCAGTCAGGAAAACAGCCTTCCCTCCCCAGCCTGCCATTTGAGAAGGGTGCGTTCTCACCTTTTTGTCTCAAGGTGGCACTCCATTTCTCTTTGTAAATCCTGAGTTAATGGCATAAGGGGACTGAGAAGTGAAAAAAAGTCTTCATGCTGCTTCCACTTCCACAAGAGAAAATCATGAGAACCAGCATATATCAAAGGCCTATTGTGTTCCAGACACTCTACTGGAAACTTTATGTAAAAATTTCCCTCATACCAGCATCAAGAAATAAGTAATAGCATCATCCCCATTTTATAGATGGGGAAACAGAGAATTAGGTTAACTTGCCAAAGTTTATGTGTCAGGTAAGTGGTAAAGCTCGAATTTGAACTCGTGTCTAATTCCAAAACCCATTCTCTTTCTCCTATAGTGCTCTGCCTCCCAAAGGTTCTGGAACTGTTCTATTATCAGATTGTTGTCAAGAAACTACCTTGTGGTCTACCAGAGCTTACATCCTAGAGGAAAAGCCTAACATACACACTCCCACTCCCCTTGCTTGGGTGTCTAGGTCGCTGAACTCTAAGCCCACGTCAACAGTCCTCAAGAGTTTATGGCTAACCAAATACACAGATTTCTCATCCTCTTGAATTTACTCTTGAGACTACCAGGCATTACTTATGAAAAAAATAATTTATGAAGCCTTCATATTTCATGGTTGCAAGTAAGAATCTCTGTTCTGGGGAAATGGTACAGCTCTCAGAACTGGATCATTGGCTGCAGGGCTGTGAGCAGAGTTCAGCTGATGCTGCTTGAAGGAACTCAGCTCTCTGCCATACTTTCTTGAGTTTGGAACCAAAATTGGAAAGTTAAGAACTTGATCATAGAGATGAACAAAAATATAAATACATTTTATGAACAAAAACAGCTGTGGATCTTAAGCCACACTGAGCAGATTTTTCTTTATACCCCATTCTTTTGCCAGCAAATGCTATATGCAAGTTATGAAAGCCTCAGATTTCCTGGATCCCAGTAAATTATCTTGTTTTGGTTTCCTTTTTGGTTTTTCCTGCTCCATGCCTGAGTGCTGTAGTCAGTGGCCAGGGAGGAGCCCACCTAAGGCAGAGAGGCTACAGTGCCTTCTCAGCCTCTCACCACCTTGTGTCATTGTCTGAGTGTGAAAGATAGACACACACCCTAATTCTGTGCTAACCACAGCTTCATTTACTTCTGCAGGCTGCACTCCTCAATTCTTTCCCAACCATCTTTGACGAGCTGCTGCAAATGTTCACCGTGCAAGAGGTGGCAGAGTTTGTGAGAGGGACACTGGGGAGCATGCCCAGCACTGTGCACATAGGGCAGTCAATGGACGTGGTCAAGCTGCAGTCCATTGCCAGGACAGTGGATAGCCGCCTGTTTTCTTTCTCAGGTAAATCAAGTTGGGATGAGAGTCAGACTCACCTTTCCTTCCTTCTAGGGGTGATAGCCAAGTGATAATCAAAGGATCAGTTTCCTCAACCATTATGCAAGAAACCAGTGACCCTTAAGATGCAGAATATTTTGGTAAACTATAATAGAGAATGTAGCCAAGACCTAGGCCTACTGTCTTACTCACAGTTTATTCCTAGGAATCCACACATACGGGCATGTCACTGGGGTGGTGTCTGAGTCCATTCAGGCTACTATAACAGAATACCATAGACTGGGTGGCGTGTAAACAACAAACTTTCTCAGTTCTGGAGATTAGGAAGTCTAAGATCAAAGCACCAGCAGATTCAGTGTCTGGTGAGGCCTACTTCCTGGTTCATAGACAGCTGTCTTCTCTCTGTGTTGTCACATAGCAGAAGGGGCAAGGCAGCTCTCTGGGGTCTCTTTTTTTAAAAGGTCACTAATCTTGTTCATGAGGGCCCTGCCTCCAGGCCCACAGCTTCCAAGAACAGAGCTTGCCATACACTCAGGAAGGGAAGGAGAGGAAGAGAGAAGGGACTATCTCAAGGAAACAAGGATAAGCTAAGAAAATAAAAGAGGCCCTACAGATGACTTGAGGTCAGGAGTTCAAGACTAGCCTGGCAAACAGGGTGAAACCCTATCTCTACTAAAAATACAAAAAATTAGCCAGGCGTGGTGGTGGGCACCTGTAATCCCAGCTACTCAGGAGGCTAAGGCAGGAGAATTGCTTGAACCCAGGAGGCAGAGGTGGCGGTAAGCTGAGATCATGCCATTGTACTCCAACCAGGGCAACACAGCGAGACTGTCTCAAAAAAAAAAAAAAAAGGGCCCTGAAAGGGGGCCCTGAGGACCCTGTGCTTTCTTGTTTCCTTGCCATACCAGTCGATACATTTTCCGAAAGTCTTTGGAGAACCAACAAGGATTAGAGAGAGGAATAGACAGGGAGCTCTTTATGCTCCCCAAAGGGTCAGGACAATCTAATATATTAGCAGCCTAGACTGTCTTTCACAAAGAACTTCTGGTTTTGTTCCTGAAGCCACATCATATGTGATCAAGTTCTGCCTTGCAGGGACAACCAAATGCTCAATGGCCATACATTAAGATCAATATGAGCCTAATTCTTTAAATATAATATCATTGTGCTAGGATAAACTTCTGAGGCACCAAAATAAATCCAAAACACCAGCAAAACAATTATTAGAATTTTTATAATTTTGGTGGTTAATTTTTTAGGTTTGACTTTTTTTTTTTTTTTTTAAATGAGATGCAGTCTTGCTCTGTTGCCCAGGCTGGAGTCCAGTGGCGTGATCTCGGCTCATCGCAACCTCTGCCTCCCAGGTTCAAACGATTCCCCTGCCTCAGCCTCCCAAGTAGTTGGGACTACAGGCATGCAACACCATGCCTGGCTAAATTTTTTTTTTTTTTTTTTTTTTGTATTTTTAGTAGAGATGGGGTTTCACCATGTTGGCCAGGCTGGTCTCGAACTCCTGATCTCATGATCCACCCATCTCAGCCTCCCAAAGTTCTGGGATTATAGACGTGAGACATGGCACCTGGCCAGGTTTGACTTTTAAAGTATAAGACCAAAAATTTCTCAGCCCAGTGCTACACATATTTGTAATACTAAATAGGTGTTCCCTTTGACTTAACTCTGCCAGCGTATGGTATTGCTAGTAGTAGTAAAGCTGCCACCAAGAAAGTCATCTTTTTTCGACCAGTAACTGTTTATGCTGGTAAACAATTCTCTCTTCAGCTCCTATGTTGAAGATTTTATTAATGGTTTGGGCACACTGTCACTGAAGGCCACTGTACACACTTGAGCTTTGTGCACTGCTTAAAAGAAAATGCTTTCAGCTGGGCGTGGTGGCTCACGCCTGTAATCCCAGTACTTTGGGAGGTCGAAGTGGGCGGATCATGAGGTCAGGAGATTGAGACATCCTGGCTAAAACGGTGAAACCCCGTCTCTACTAAAAATACAAAAAATTAGCCGGGCGTGGTGGCGGGTGCCTGTAGTCCCAGCTACTCAGGAGGCTGAGGCAGGAGTATGGCGTGAATCCAGGAGGCGGAACTTGGAGTGAACTGAGATTGCACCACTGCTCTCCAGCTTGGGCGACAGAGCAAGACTCTGTCTCAAAAAAAAAAAAAAAAATGCTTTCAAAATATGTGGGAAGGGGAACAGCAGACTGCTCTCACTGACATACTTTATTTCTAATATCTCTGCATGTACTTGCTGCTTCACACAAACACTTAAGAAAAATTTTCTTAATACTTATGTGGCCTTGGACTATGTAATTGGATTTTAGATGACAAACACCGCCAAAATTTTGTTTGCATCTCACTTTCATTGAATGCCTGAGTTGCAGCATCTTCCCTGAAGCAAAAGGTTCTTTACCAGTGATGTCCTTTAACCGGCACTGGTATTCTCAAAGTATAAGTTTGGTCTCTTCTTCAGCAGGTTCTAGTAACAAACCACTGCTTTTTTCTGTAAGCAGCTATTGGTTATTACAAATACTAAGTATGTTGGTATTTTCATCCACACAGTGCGGTATCAACTTTTTTTATTCAAGCAGCCTTTTAAATCTAGACTAGCTAGTATTCTATCCTGTTTGAACATCTTCTAAGCATTTGACAAGGCAGGCCCAAATCTCTTATATATCATGTAATTTGTCTTTGACTGAAAAAGATTTTCTGTCTGAATTTCATGTGGAACTCTTAACTAAAGACAGATAAGAACGATAAATCCAAAATGCCATGGCTTGTTTGTGTTACTGATAATCTGACTAAATCATGCTGGCCAGATATGATGGGACCTGCAGAGTCACACCATCACTGACCACGTAGGACTACAGGGTGCCAGAAACACATTCACATTTGCATTTCACTTGTCTCCTAACCTCCCCTGTGAAGTAAATGTATTATAGAAGAGGCCCTTACACCCCATTCTACAGATGAGGAAAATAAAGCTCATGAGAGGAGTCAACTTGCCTGAGGTCTCAGAATGAGTTAATAAAGGAGCTTGAAGTAGGACAGCCTTCCTGAATTTGGGATTCTAAATATAGTCACCTTCTGATGAAAGTGCTATTCTGGTAACATTGGGAGAAAGTAAAAGAAAATCATTTGAAGTGTTCAGTGGGATTGGTGATAAATGTTGGCTAATTATCAAAGTCTTGTGACAATACAAAGGTCGTGCTTCAATTGTGTTCATTGCTGTGCACACACTGAGCAGCAATCTCACAAGGCTGTGGGGGAAAGGGAGCAGGCCTGTTGGCTGTGGCAAGGTAAATGCTCACAGGGGTGGAAGTGTCAGACTACCTACCTAGCCAGGGCATAAAGAGGGACAATCTATAACCCATTTCAAGCCTGCAAGTTCAGTCAGTGTAGTTCATACTAAGTATACCATTTAAATGGCATTTTCACTGTAAACTGTGCTTTTAATTTGGAGTCTATTCATTAAAGAGATTTCATTTGGGACCGGGTGTGGTGGCTCACACCTGTAATCTTAGCATTTGGGGAGGCCAAGGAGGGAGGATCGCTTGAGCCCACGAGTTCAAGACTTGCTGGGCAGCATAGTGAGACCTCATCTCTACAAAAAATTAAAAAATTATCCGAGTGTGGTGCCATACACCTGTGATCCCATCTGTGTGGGAGGCTGAGGTAGGAGGATTGCCCTAGCAATCCTAGAAAGTTGAAGCTGCAGGGAGCCATGATCATGCCACTGCATTCCAGCCTGGGTGACAGAATGGGACCCTGTCTCCAAAAAAAAGAGACTTCATTCCAAATGAAGCAGACTCCTAACATTCATCCTGCACAAAATATCATGGATGCTTGGTATTGAAATGAGAACAAAGAAAAGATGGAAGAATAATGTCATGTGATGGCTTATAATTTCCAGGCAGTGAGCTTTCAGGCCCTTGTAAGGTAAGGGGATTACCTTCACTTTTGCTCTAGTCTCAACCCCACCTGCTTTGAGAATAGCTAGGTCCTATAATGCCACTGGCTTCCCGCAGTAGCTAATTCTCCTCTAAAGGCTTCTTCACCTTTGTGTTTTCTCTCCCAGAATCCCGCCGCATCCTGCTTCCTGTGGTTCTCCATCACATTCACCTTCACCTGAGGCAGCAGAAAGAGCTGCTTATTTGCTCAGGAATTCTTGGCAGCATCTTCTCCATCGTCAAGACCAGCTCTCTGGTAGTAGCCCCACACCCACTCCACCCTGCTCAGCTCTTCCCTAGTCTTGTATTAGTTTAGCCAGAGGCAGACCAACAAAGATCGCTTTGTACACTTTTCAGTCACAGATGCTTTCATCAGTGACAGGAAGGTGCCCAAGTGAATGGTGGCCTGTGTGTTCCCAACAGGTTTCTCTGTACAACGTATTCTTGCTATTTTTAAAGGTTACACTATCAAATCTACCCAGAAGTATAGTTATCTGTAGTACCACAAAGCCCAATTCTGTGTCATGCTGTTTCCATCAATAGGTTTTAATTCTGCATTCTTGGGAGTTTTCAGGCATGAGCACAGGGAGGCAGACCCAGACTTGAGAGGTAGCTTGCTTATTCAGGCTCTTCTGTTAGCTTCCTGACAGCTTGATTCCACCCATATGGCGTTCCTATACTGTGCCAAATGAGGTCAGGGCATACAAGAGGTTAATGTTGCCCACCAGAGCTCTGAGCCTCAGAGGATGGTAGAATTGTGCTTTAAGGGTCGGGTTTCAACTGATACTGCTTTTACCCATTTTCTTTCCTCTTTATTTTTTCTTTTTGAAAGAAATCGGTGGTAGGCGGGGATGAACTGAGGTAGGGAAAGAGAGAAGAAAAGATATGAATCAGGCACAGGTGAGAGTAGGAATTTATTTTAATGATACTTATTTCATGTACTTTTGATAATAGAAGAAAGGCATATTACTTATAGAAAATTCAGAAATGATAGGAAAGCATAAGGAAAGAAATGTAAAACAAAAATGGATTTTTAAATTATACTGTTTTATTAAGTTGCTAGAGAATAGAATTTCACATGCATTTAAAATGAACGGCAGTTACCAGGTGATAAGAATATACAAGGATAGGCTAGCTACATGTAGTGGGAGAGGCACCTAAAAAAAAAAGTATATTTTGTTTGAGCAGGGGACAGGGACTCAATAGGATACTCTGATGTTCAAACTCAAAGTACCATCTGGTGACAGGGGTCTAGCTTGGCAGAGAGTGACTATGATGGTGATAATGGCCCTATTATTTGCTCTTGGCTCCAGGTAAGACTTGGCAGCTCTTCTTCCCACCAGGCCTCAGAGAAGCCACACCAAGCACATAAGATCTACTCGTAGCCCAAGGTTGTATTGAGGGGGGGACAGCTTATTGCTAAAGGAAGGAGAGAAATTGAAGCAAAAAAAGAGGAGGAATGGAACAGGAGTGGGAACCAGTAAAAACCTGGAGGCGATGGTTTGGTTGTGTTTGTGGGGCTAGAGTCAGTGTAATGAGTTGCTTATGACTACCCAAAGATACATCACTGGTAAGTGTTATGATCAGTTCGACAGATAGGAAAAATGACTTTGGTCCCAAGAGCTACTCAAATTCTTCATGTGGAATGGGGCAGAGTATAGTTAAAATGGATGGATGGGTAGAGGAACAATGAAATTGAAGCTCAATGAGAGCAGAGATATTATCTCTCTTGTTCACCTCTATATATTCAGGTTCACAAACAGTGACTGGCACATGGTAAATGTTTAGTGAATGATAGATTGATGGATGGGTGAAGGATAGACACTAGGACCAGTGATAGTATAAACATCTTAGACAAGGGGCAACAGGAATCTCTTTGTGAGATAATTAAAATCATGCTACAGAATTTGAGATGAATGTGAGAGGTCTATAATAGGATAACAGATTCTTCCTAAATTAGGAAGTGGCCCTCAGTGAGGAGACATGCTTCATTGTTTTTGTGAGGTGGCCAGAGAAAGATGCACTGAGGCTGGAGTCCTTCAAATGGACCCTGTAACACGAAGGAGAGAGCTGAGGAGCTAGAAGTGGACCCAGGCATATCTAGGCAGCAGTCCAGGCTGGCAAAAATTGAGGGCACCCAAGGGGAAAACCCTGAGGAGAAAACAGGGTGCTCAGAAAGATGAGCTACTTCTGTGCATTAGTGCTATGTACTAGTGAAGGTACTGCTGCCACACCCTGTAGTGTGAATTCTTCACCATTTCTCAAACTTTATCATTTCCAAAAGTGTCAGCAGAGTTGTGCCTTCTCCTGACCATTCTAGGGAAATCAAAGAAAACATTTAACTCAGGATCTTTGTTTCTGCCCTGTATATCAAAATTAATGTATCTGCTTGAGATTCGAAGTTGCAGGTGGTGTTGAGTTAGGGTAAGGCCCCAGCCACCATGCCTGGGCAGCAGTGGCAGTTGTGCCTCACCTCCTGTCAAAGCCATTGTCCTGGGTTCCTTGACACTGCATGTTGGTGAGACTGAGAGCTTGGTGTCGGGAATCCAGAAGACTACTGCTGATGTACCTGACATAGTAAGTGCTGCCAGCTGTACTTCAGCCTGGCTTGGTGCTAACGGTGTGCTCTCTTACTGCTCGCTCCAGGAGGCAGATGTCATGGAGGAAGTAGAGATGATGGTGGAGAGCCTCCTGGACGTGCTCTTGCAGACTCTGCTCACCATCATGAGCAAATCGCACGCTCAGGAGGCGGTAAGAGGGCAGCGGTGCCCGCAGTGCACAGCCGAGATCACTGTTAGTAACTAACATCCAGGTTTTCTTGCCTTCTTTTCTAACCTGGGGCTTCTCCACAGTACTCCCCCTCCATCTTACCATCCCATCACCTTCATCTCAGCCTCCCCTCCTGCATGGTTGTCAGCATGCTGCCCTCTTCCCTTCTTGAATCTGACTCTCCTCTCCACTCTGAAAGCTCTAGGTTCATATTCCCAGGACTCTTCTTTAGGGCAGATCCGGGGAATGTTTGTTGTCCTGTTTTCCTGCATACTTTGAGCCAAGTCATTTTCTATATTGTGGAATGAAGCAGGGATGTATGTAAGATGTAGTAAGAGGTTGAAGTTGAAAAACAGACTACTTCTTCTAGGAACCCCCTCATATAGGTTCTCCTAAACGATGTGCAGGACAGAATAATTTTCTCAGAATTGGCTTCTATCTACAGATTAGTTGCTTTTGTCCATTATGTTTGTATCTACATTTTTAGGATTTGGAAAAATGTGATGAGGTAAATTTCACTGGCATTACTGAATAATGATTTTTCTGTAATCTAACTAGAAGAGAAACAAACTGGTAAGGCTTCTCAGGAGGGGCAGAGAGACGATGCCTTGGGCCCCTCATGTACCCCAACTCCAGAATAGACTTCTCAGCCCTGAGGTGGGGACATGATAAACAGTTTTCGTGGAATCTTTCCATTGGCAGATGGGAGATTACAGTGATCTCTCTGAAGAAAACGCTCTGGAGCAAGCCAAGCTACAGCGTGCTAGGGGGAGCAGGGAGCACTCAGGGAGCAGGTACGTGTTCTGAAGCACTGGGCTTGGAAAGAGTGTCTGCTCCTTTAGGAGCCTCTGTTGAAGGCACTCTCACTGTAAGTAAAAAACATATATGTATATGTACCCTGGCATTTCCTGGTAACCCAGCCTTCTAACTAACACTTACACAGTGCTTGCTGTGGGCCAGAATCTGCTTTATGCACTTGTCCAATATTAGCTCATTTAGCAGTACTGAGGAAGTGATTCATTTTATGTAGATTATAATGAGGATGATGATAATTGTAATTTATTTAGTACCTTTTTACATATGGACTTTATTTTTAAATGCTTTATATACATTAACCCATGTGACCCTCATGACAAATTACCTATAGCTTTTTATGCCCATTTTTGAGATAAAAATGAGGTTCATGAACATATATATTTTGCACACATGTATTTTTAATAATTTCAGGCCAGGCGCGGTGGCTCATGCCTGTAATCCCAACACTTTGGGAGGCCAAGGCAGACGAATCATCTGAGGTCAGGAGTTCAAGACTAGCCTGGCCAGCATGGCGAAACCCAGTCTCTACTAAAAATACAAAAAAAATTAGCCAGGCGTGGTGGTGGGTGCCTGTAATCCCAGCTACTCGGGAGGCTGAGGCAGGAGAATCGCTTATACCTAGGAGGTGGAGGTAGCAGTGAACCAAGATCGTGCCATTGCACTCTGAACTGGGCGACAAGAGCAAAACTCCGTCTCAAGAAACAAGAATAATAATTTCAGAGACCTAGAAAGGGTTTGAGAGACTAAAAACTGTTGTCACTTTCTCACGAGTTCATAAATATTTGAAAATTGCCCACGAGAAGTAAATGTTCTCCCTCCCTTTTAAAGAGGCAACTAAGAGGAGGCCATGCTTGTCTGCTCCATGCCAAAAGTTACAATAAGATGGTTTTTGAAGTCCTTAAAGCAGGATTTTATTCCATGTATCCCAGTTGGAACTTGAAGACATTTTGAACATTGATATTTATCCTTTAATTTCTACTTGTCTTAAAGCCCATAGCTTGTCCCCTCAAAAAGGTCAATTTTAACTCATCTGCCTTTCAGACAGGCATACTGATCTGCTGTGTTTTGTTTGCCCAGTCTAGTAACCCTGTGCAAATTCTAGGAGATTCCAAAGAAGTCCTTGTACAAGGGCTGCTCTAGCCCAGCAGGATCGGCAGAATCCAAATTCTATCCAGAGAAGGTTAAGCTCTCCCCTGTTCCAAGTATCCTCTATAGACTTAAGTACAGTGCCTTGGCAGCAAAGGACTATTTAGCCAAAACTTTCCTAGGAAAAAAAGGGAGAGTATTTGTCTCACTTTGCAATACTACTTTATTATTGTGTAAGATTTTTCAGTAGCCCCATACTGCAGAGACCTTATTCCCCCCCAATCCCTCCAGGCTTTCCTTAGCAGAAAAGAAGCTTTAAAGGGCCAGATTTGTCATCTTTCTTCCATGATCATTGGGGCCATCTCATACCCTCCCTTCTCTCCTTGCCCTCTATGGATGGGGGGAACACAGCCCTTGCAATTGGCCATGCTAAGTATTTTTTTTGGGTTGGTCCCTAGGGCGAATATGTGTCCTGCCTTCTCTCACTGCTCCGCCAGATGTGTGACACCCATTTCCAGCACCTCCTGGACAACTTCCAGAGCAAAGATGAACTCAAGGTAGGCAGTAGAACACCTTGCATGTGGGAGCCAACACTCCCCAGGGGCTTTTTCCCTGTCAGGGGGATGAGTGCAAGTGACTAGCATTGCCACGGGTGTAGGATTCACCAGCCCTACTTTACAGCTGAGTGTTGGCCTCCAGAAGCTGAAAGCCAGCAGTGTCCCCACACAGCTGGACCCTGGTAACACTGCCAAGTTTTCCTTAACTATTGGCAGCCCTGTGATCATGTGCCTCTATTAGAGTCCCACACTGGTTGTCGGAAAACCAGGACTCCTTCCTTTCTTAGTAACTTGGCAGTTACCCTTATATTTTGTACCTACAAATTAGGATTTGCTGTTTTAATGCCTTTAATAATAATAATGATGACCACTTTTTTTCATTTAAATATATTTGTGGAAGATACCTTTAGAGAGCAAGGTGTGCACTGCTCATTTGCTGCCGGACTCTGGGTCTGGAACACTGAAGGGCTTATTTTTGTCACAGATTGCTATACATAATTTAAAAAGCCAAAGTGTACTATAAAGTTCATAATATAAAACACCTGTTTTTTTTAGCTAGTAGTCCTAGCTACTCTTGAGGCTAAAGTGAGAGGATCGATTGAGCCCAGGAATAATTTTTTTTTTAAATTTAGTGGTTTCCTGGCTCAGCCTGACTCATGTCCAGTCCCTGCTCCACAAAGGCAGCCATTTTCAATTCATTTGCTATTCTTCAGGAAGCTTCTACTACTATTTTTAGCTATTAGTTATTATCTATTTTTCCCTTTCTATGGAAAATGAAGATGATTCTCCAGAATCATTCCTCTCCCACACACATCCTTTCTCCCATTCTCCCAATGTAGTTTTCATATATTTTTGTTTGCATTGGTTATATTGGTTATCTTTTCTTTATTACAGCTAAATAAGTACTGTGGTGAGCCAAGACTGTCCTGGGATTATGTTTCTTTTCTTGTAGAACAGTGATGTCCAGTCTTTTGGCTTCCCTAGGCCACATTGGAAGAAGAATTGTCTTGGGCCACACATTAAATACACTAACACTAACAATAGCTGATGAGCTAAAAACAAATATATATATATACACACACATATATGTATACACATACACACACACATATATAAAATATTTTAAGAAAATTTACAGATCTATTTTGGGCCTCATTCAAAGCCATCCTGGGCTGCATGTGGCCCATGGGCCATGGGTTAGACAAGCTTGTTGTCAAACTTATTGTTTTTATAAAAATTAATTGCCTCTTTTTTTTTGTTTGCTTATGTTTTGTTTTGGTCTTCAAATCTGGTGAGGATTTACCACTCTTGCTATCATCTTTCTAATGTATCTCTTCTTCTAGCTTGCCTTATGGTCAAATGTATCAGATGTCAGGTCACTTTTTTTTCCTAGAGATTTCCTCCCCTACTGCTTTTATTTATTTCAGTCTCTATCTTTTGTGTTGGAGACTCTCCTCCTACAGACTTTCCTGTAGAGACTCCTGGATGATAGTATGTATCTAAAAGTGAAGTCCTTTAGTGCTGATTACAAACTCTATGTATAGGCAGGGCTTTCTCTAGCAGGCTCCCCTGTAGATGGCCAAAGAGGATCTGCCCTTTTGGTCAGAGCATTCCCTAATTCCTGTATCTGCAGGACTTGGACTTGTTCATTCCCTAGAGGGGAGTCTTCTACTTCTCCTGTGTTGGGCACAGGAGTTCAGTGTCACAAAAGATCAACACTGAGACAAAGGATTCCTCAGCAAGGCTAGTTTACTTTCTGCAGAAAGGGTGCCCTCGCCAGCAGTCCAGCCACAAGAGCACAAACAAACAAAGGAGACAGGGTCATCTGTAACCTGACCCATCCACCCTACTGCTGTGTCTGGTTTCCATTGGCTGGAACGGGATCTCACATTCTATACTCGACCCGATTGGCTAGCAACTTAGAACTTCCCAAAAGAGGTAAAGGTAGAGGAGAACAAAGGAAGAGAGGAAGTAACTTGTGGAATGCTGAGAGAGGCAAAAACACTTCCAAATAAGAGAGAGGAATAGGCTATGACCTAATGCTTGCTTGGATTGGTTCAGGTGTGCCAGGGCAGATATCTAGGCTAAAATGTGGAAGCTGAGAACAGAGTATATTGATTTCTTTATTACAACTAGCAGAATTTGAGAATATTAGCACTGGTCTTTGAGTAAATTTTGCTTCTAAGAGAGGTTACTATCTATTCTTAATTAGACTGGGAGGAAAGTTCCTTTGAAGAGGAACCTCTGTGTATTTCATTTTCTGCATTCTGGAAATGGAATAACCTACCAATATTTTAGGAACGACATAGCAAAAAGGAGCTGTGAGTCTTCCAGCTCAGCAGGTAAAGTTTCTTTAAATGCCTATTTTCATTTTGGCACCTCAGTCCTCAGCTGTTAATGTATCCTTGAAGACAGACCCTCAGTGATCAACTGCTCCAGAAAACAGCCCTCAGTACTCTGGCAGGGCAGAGAAAAACTTATTAGCTAGTGACATGAGATAGCAGAGGGGATGTTAGACTTTAATCTTCCTACTCTTAGCCCTCATACCTTAGATTACGGGAGGTGCCTAGTGGCGCTTCAGTTTGTGTGCCTTGCTTCTTATTGTTCTCATCCCCAAAGGCCCTTGGCTCTTGGTATTCCCAGGTCTGTTAAGTCAGTTACCAGTTTCTTCTTTTTCAAGTTTTCAGTATTTGTTGACCTCATTTGCTTACCATCTTCTCCCCTCTTGTTTTCTTTGTGTGGGTCTGTGCATTTCTCTTTCTTGGCTATTATTTTAGAGGATTTGAGGAGAAGCCACAGTAAGGGAACATGTTCTGTCCACCACACTGAATATGGAGCTTTGTATGTGTTTTCTTTTTTTATGACAGTATTATTGAGATACAATTATACCATAAAATTCATACTTTTCACAAGTGTACAATTTAATGCTTCTGATTATATCCATCTTAAAAAGACTCATCACAAATAGTGATATCAAGTTAATAATTTAAGACTTCCAGCCAGGCACAGTGGCTGTCGCCTGTAATCCCAACACTTTGGGAGGCCGAGGTGGGTGGAGGCAGATCACCTGAGGGTGGAAGTTTGAGACCAGCCTGACCTGACCAACATAGAGAAACCCTGTCTCTACTAAAAGTACAAAGTTAGACGGGTGTGGTGGTGCACACCTGTAATCCCAGCTACTCGGGAGGCTGAGGTGGGAGAACCACCTGAACCTGGGAGGCAGAGGTTGCGGTGAGCCAAGATCGTGCCATTGCGCTCCAGCCTGGGCAACAAGAGCTAAACTCTTGTCTCAAAAAAAAAAAAAAAAAAAAAAAAAAAACAAAAAAAAACTTCCACAAAGAAAAGCCCAGGACCAGATGCCTTAATTGGTGAATTCTACCAAATTTTTCAATAAGAATTAATATCAGTCCTTTGCAAACTATCCCAAAAAATAGAAGAGGAGAGAACATTTACCTACTCATTTTATGAGGTCATTAATAAATACTGTGATAAGAAAACTGGACAAAGACATCACAAGAAAAGCAAACTACAGACCAATACCCCTTATGAATATAAACACAAAAATCTCCACTAAAATACTAGCAAACTGAATCCACCAACATAGTAAAGTAAAAGGATTATATACCATGATCAAGTAGGATTTATCCCAGAAATGGAAGGTTGGCTTAACATGTGAAAATCGTCAAGGAATGGCATGAGCCACACAGAAAAATAGGAAGCTCCTGACTTCTTCTCCACCCACAGACACCATATAAACATCTATTCATGGATCACTTCCCTCTGAGAGAAGGAGACCAATTGAAAGACACTTACCCACCAGGCAACTGAGGAAACATCCACATTGAATGGGTAGGAAAAGCTGAGAGGCACACTCAGGCACAGACCCCACCCCTGGCACTGCACCATAAAATCAGGAACGGAATCCTTAACATTTACCTGCTCCTTGTGGAGAGGAGGGTTTGGACTTCACATATACCACCCTAATTCTAAGATTTGCCGTGGTTTGGCTCCTAATTCACCAACTCTGGGAGGGGAGGAAATTTGACACATGTAAGCATCTCTAGATCACAAGGAAAAAGCAGCAATTTTATATGGGCACACAAGCACTTCCAGGGCTTTATCCTCTAGAAGCACTCAGAGAAAGGGCTCCAAAAATGCAGCTCCATGTGTCTCTCAGGAACAGACAAATTCTTTCAGTGCACATGTGGCAGTCTGGCTTCTTACTGACTTAGACTGGGGAGTTAAAGGAGCAGACAAGTAGTAGCTTGCTGCTAGCCTGAGCAGCAGATTGGCACTTCCTGAGCCTCCTCCCCCAGCTCACCCTAGTGATAATTTCAAACAAACTCCTCTCCTAGAAGGAGTTTGTCCACACATGGAGCATCCCAACTTTTATAGCTTCTACCCAAGGGAATGCATCCTAAACCTCCCTGTTCTGGGAGCAAAGAGGACTGGCTTCCGTGTGTCTCTAGACTACATGAAAAAGGTCGTGGTTTCATATGGGCATGCAGGCACTTCTGGGGTTTTATCCTCCTGAAACAGTGCAGAGAAAGGGCTTAAAAACACAGTTCCCCTGTTTCTCCCTGTAAGGGGTGTATGACTACTTGGTGGTCTGGCTTCTAACTCACTTACATTCACGAGTTAAAGGGACAGGCAAGTATTGGCCCACCCGCAGCCTGAGAAGCAGATTGGTACTTCACAGGCCTTCTCCGCCAGCTCATCTCAGGAATAATTCCAGGCCTGTTAATCCCTACTGGAAAGAATTGTCCACATATGAGTGCTCCAACTTTTACAGCTTCTACCCGAAGGACTGCATCCTAAACCTCCTAGCATTAGGAACAAAGGAAGCTGCATATATATGAGGCTGTCTAGACCTCAGGAAAAAAAAGTTGCAGTTTTATATGAGCACATAACTACTTCCAGGGTCTTCATCTCCCAGGATCAGTACAGAAAAGTGGCTTTAAAAACTCACCTCTCATTTCTCCCTGGAAGGGGTTTATGCC